CGGGGATGTTATACGCGAATGATGTGGTTCTGCTAGCAGAGAATAGGAGTAAAATGGAAAGTATTTTGAGCATTGCCGCAGACTTTGCAGAAAATTTTCGAATGGTTTTTGGAGAACAGAAATCCCAAATCATTATTCTCAATAAGCCGATAGATGAGCAACAGGGTGTCTAAAAACTGAAAGCAATGAATTTGCAGCAAGTATCTGAATACACTTACCTGGGGGTAAAGCTTAGTGACAATATCGAAAACTGCTTACAACAGCATGAGGATGATATACGGAAAAAGGCAAGAAAATACAGGGGAGCAATAGCTTCAAAGATATTCTATAGTTTCAATAGATATTGGGTGGGTAGGGAGCTTTGGAAAGCAGTTGCAGTGCCTGCACTGACGTATACAAATGAATCCCTATATAGTATTTAAAGATAAAAAAATAGGAACGTCCACGCTCCAGGCACTAGACAGAACTCAAAACCAGCTGGGAAGGGAGTTACTAGGGGCACCCTCTTATGTGGGACTGGAGAGTATTAGAGGGGAGATGGGATGGTCAACTTTTGAAGAGAGAGAGGCAAAAAGTAAAATTAAATATTGGGGCAGGATAAAATATATGAATAGTGAACGTAAATGTAAACAGATAGCGGAAGCAATGGAATTGGGCGAATTCAGATCAGACTGGAAGAGGAGAACTAGGTTCCTCATAACAAAGTTTGACTCGGATAGGAGTCAAGACAAAGAGTTAACGGGGGGTATTAAAGAATGGAATGTTAGAGTGGAAAGAGCAATTAAACAGAGTGGTACGTACTACCGAATGGAAAAAAGGGATAGAAAACAAGAGTTCGCTAGGATTGTATAAAGAAAAAAAGGCGCCTGGTAACGAGTCCTTTTATGATAATAGACTTGGAAGTAGCCTAGCTGCTCTTTCAATGCAAGGCGGGGTGCTTGCCACTAAATAAACGCACTAGACACTGGGGAGGTGAAGATAAATGCTTAATTTGTGGGAGAGGAGAGTTGGAGACCCTGGAGCACTTTTTACTAGAATGTCCTGGTTATGAAAACCATAGATTTTTTTAAATATGATTAAACGTAGAACAGGTTTGGAGGCAACA